TGACAAAATTCTTGACTCGACTCGCCCGTTTCTTATGAGTAATGACCCTCGGCTGGAATTGTGACGTTGATAATGGTTTTTGGTTAAACGACTCATTAGCCACGGACCCTTAAGTAGCCACCGATATGCTGCGATGATCGGAAGTGCGTTGATTTATGAACTTTCCGCTTGGACATCAACCTGACTCAGCAGATCTGCACAGCGAAAAATATCAGTCAATGTGGCCATTTTCTTATTGGTATACCATCACATTTTTTTATGAAGAAGTTGCCAATCATTTCAACATGACAAGCGGCCTATAACATATAGACTTATGTTAAGATAATAACTTCATATTGTCGTGTTCTTTTTCCCTGTGTAAAATTTACAATTCGCTGTAAAAAGTGCAACAAGTTCAAAGTTGTTTTTGCATGATAAGATCAAAACTGAGGCCGCCAGATGATCGTGCTCCCCGCGCTTCCATATAATACCATGCCATCCCCATCCGATCCCAGGTGCTGGGATCTTGGAGTGCCGCACACGTTGCTGATTACGATGACGATGTTCGTCGCTGTGTTTTTTTATTTTTCGCCTGACCAGACGCCAGACCGTTGACAAATGACCGGTACAAGTGTTTGTGACAAGCCGCAAGTATCTTTTTGTCGTATTTTTTCATTTCTATTTGCGCCGCGGCAAACAGAAAACAATTAAACTTCGGCTCGAAAGATATACTGGTTGGTGTCCGACCTACGCCAAAGGTTTTCAGCTTAACTTTGAACCTGCCAGCGATGGATGTATAGTATGCTAATCCCGTGTCAATCACGGGTCGATCGGGGAGTATGCAAAGAGATACAGGCGAAACATCGAAGGGAACACGAACATCCCGGCCAGACAATGGCAATTTGAATTGCAGAACCGATCCGCTGACACTGAGATCGAAGGAGTTTCGAGCACCGATCGTCACTTAATAAATTCTGAAACAGATTTTTGCATGCAGGCCGAAATGGGATGCACCAAAAAATTTCAAATTTCCAACTGATATGTTAAGCGGCTGTCAGCCGATGCTCTCTTAGCCAAGTACACTTGACGTCATCTTACGCGAAATGCAAATGAAATGACCAACAATGCAGAAACCTCTCGGTCAAGCCGAAGTTTTAATGCCCTTTTGGGGTTACACGAAATGATTCGATATATTTGTGCTATAAGAAACAATTCTGAAATATTTAATTAAATTATTACAAATATAAGATTTTAAAAGTATAAAGTATAATAATATTGGCTCAGTTTCGAAAATATTTCATGACATCGTAATCATTTATTCCTTCATAGAAACAAGTGAAGGGTATTTGTAAGAAAGCGAAATCCACAAAATTCACACACAGGCTCACTCTTCATTCTTCGGGCGTTCTGTCTCCAAAAAATATGTGCAGATATATGTTTGTACATGCAAAATCCAATATGTCTATATAGTATTTCACAAATGCCCAGACACAGACAAAGATACAACGCGAGTCGAGGCGCTGGCATCACAGTCCGCATCCCAATCCGAAACCGTACCATCCCATCCCATTGAGGTGGCAGAGAAATGGGAACAAACTTGTAAAACGCTTCGAATGTTCGCTCATTGGCGCTGTCAAGAGATCTGGCCCCCTTCGAAAGGCCCTCCCCTGGCAAGTGATATAAGCACCAGTGATATGACATGCCAGGTGCCGTTGGATGCGAGTGCGATGGGGCTGCTTTGGGTGATGCTCTGCCTCTGCCCTGTCAACTCATTGGGGGCTTTCGCCTTGGATATTGCGCCTGGCCATGACGACAGCGATGCGCTACTTACTCGCATGTAGTTAACCAAAAAATGAGGAAAAATAAGTATATTCGGCGGAAGACCACTAGAGAAGGGCTAACAGAGACCGTAGTGTTGACACTCGGCTGCGACTCAACGGGTTGCGGATGTCTGTTGATCTTTAGTCGGAAATCAAACGAAATCTGAGTGGGAATTAGTGGCTGATGATGCCTGTGATGGTGATCTTCTGTGGAGGGAGGAGGACTTAAGATGATGGGGCTGAATTAGACATAAAAAGCAGAGCACGAAATTTGCAAAAGAGATATTTGAAATTCTGGGAAATTGTCGATTGTTTTTATTGTTATTTTCCTTGTAGTTTCTTTAAATATACACATTTTAATAGAAGACAATTTTCCTAACGTATTTAAAAAGTACCCTTTAATTAAAAATAAACATATTTGAAATATTTGTTCTTCCCACTATAAAGTATTTGAAATTGAGAAACTAGAATCTGTAACTAAGATATTAGAAATGCTTTTAAGAAATCTTGTAGGTTTCAAGACAATTAGCTTAATAATATTTTTTTTTCGAGGAACTCTCTTAAGACTTTAGCCGCCCCAAAATCTTGCAGATACCAGCACGCATCCGCAAGATACATTTCGCAATGCTGATGCTTGTGGCGGCACTTTCCCCTCCATTCAGCCCTTGAGTGGTGTAAACAAATTGCAACATATGACAGCAGCATTTGACAATTGTAAATGGTTGGCGGCAGTGCAAGTGTTCAGCTTGTCTTTTGTTGTCTCCCTGTCAGGCGAATAAAAACGCAAAAAACCCGAAAAAAGAAATGTCTGTGACCCCCGAGGAGAACTATGGCCAAAGGACATATTGATTTGGCCGGACTCGTGGGCAAGGTCAGGATCCCTGCTTATAAAATAGTAAAGGGCACTCGAAAACGTCTGCACATCATGCATCAGAAGTCGGAAGTCTGCCAAGTTTTGGGAAAGTTTACTCCCCAGAAGAAAAAGGAACCACCTAATGGCCAACCAGAAATATTACTTGCAATATCCAATTTGATGGCCTGACTGACAGTTGCAGCAAAACGAAATGGGTCAAGATTAGTGCAATTCAATTTGTGGCCACGGCCACAACAGTTGGCCCACCGAAAGTCCCCTCCACTGCCTCCCGATCCACATGACTGATGGAGCCGATGCCCGTTGTCTGGTTACTGTCTGCTCGCTGTTTACTTGGTCATTAGTTTAAGCCCATTCAGGATGGCAGCCGGCCAGGGAAGTGCAGGAGCTTTGATGTCGGCGCTCTCTCTGCGCCCTGGCCACACTGAAACCGCCTTAATTAAACGAGCGGTAATTAATTTCGACTTTAATCAGAAATTCCATTTAGATTTTGGCCGCTGATTGATGTGACCCGACATCTTCCGCCAACGTCACATCGAAGACCACTAAACTGTGACAGCAGCAGCAGCGGCGGAAAACTTTCGGAAGTGTGTGTGGGTGGGTTCTGTTCTCTGTTTTTGTTTAAAGCAAACTAAAGTTTGAGTTTGTATATTTGGCTAAGCATAAGGCAACGACCCAATTTAATTATTTAACAATAACTTAGAAAATCAAGAGGCATTATGATAAAGTCCCTGCTTTATATGAACATATGAACATATGAATTTCTGTTGAATCTTTGTATTTAACTTGAATGAAAGTTATAAAATAAATGGAAAAAATGTTACTTATTTTGTTAATGAATTAACCAGAAAACAATATTAGTACTAACAAAACAAAAAGCATAAAGCAGATAAAAACAAATTTTAATTAAAGCTGTTATATTGACTTAAATTAAAAGCACATGTGGTAGATAGAGTTTCAGACAACGATAAATATAATACAAAATGTACCTACCTATGTGTTTAAAGGTGATGGAGTACAAAATTAAGCGGGTTTAATAATAAATTAATTAATCAATACTTTTTAAAGCAATTTGGGGTAATGTAAAATGATACTGCTCCATTTAAACTAGATTTTAATTAATAATAAATCAGCCAGAGTAAACTACTCCCCATTTAGCAAATGGGCCGTGACCCACATACAATTTAGGAACTTGGAGGCGAGCGAGACAGCAATCGCCCAAAAACAGAGCGGGACGCACTCACAAGTCAGCGGTTGCCGTCTATCACATTGACTGACTGCCACACATTTCACAGATATAAATACTAGAGATACAGATACAGTGTCTATGGCTGGGCTGCCTCAACCTCAACTCTTTGCCGAGTATTGGAAAGCCAAAACGAAGCGGGCGGGCCAATTGAGTTGGCCGTAATAACACGCCACGGTAAATGGCTTTTAAAAGTCTACTTTGCCATAGCACGCCCCCTCATTATGAACGACGCGCTTCGAACGCCCTCGTGCGGTTTGCCTCACAAAAAACCCCGATGCAGATGACAGAATAGTTTCGGGGGCGACTGCCAGGAACGGGAAATTGTCATTATCTTCCGACGATTGCAGATACAAGGATATAAGTTTTCGGCAAGCGACAACCATCTGTCTGGGGCGAGATACCTTCGGCCCTCTCCATTTCTTGGCCAGGCACAATACCAAGTCTGAACTTTTTCGGGTGCCACCAAATGGCAGTTTGACACGTCATATTTATGAAATGCGCAACGTTGCAGAAAATCACAATATAAATGAGAAAATTAACTGCCTCGAAGCGGCGAGAAAGCTGGGAAGGAACCTGGGGGATCGGGTGGTGTTGTCCACTTGAACGTTTGACGATTGCCTAGAAACGCCTTCAAATGGTTTTTGGCAGAAACAAATGCCTTCTGGCGGTTCAGCGGGGGAAAAGTAGGGGAAGAACATTTGAACAAAAAGTGGATATTTAAATGCGATTGATTTTACTCAATTAAATGTGACTTAAGATAATATTTCAAGAAAAATGTAGTCTCTAACTATTTTATTTTATATTTTTTTGTGTAGTCCCTTTCAAATATTTGGAATCCAAATGACACGGAGGTATCATTTTCAATTTAACATTAAATAAGGTAGCAAATAAATGTTAAATATTTTAAGCCTAACTTAATTTAGGTATAAAATTAAGGACATATTGATGGTTTACTTTCTCATATCATATCCTCCTGTTGTAACATTATTTAAAATATATTTCTGGATTGTTTTCCTAGTTGATAAGCTGCGCCCAATGTTTTCCAACCCAACTAATAATTGCATCCCATTCTCCCCTTCAGGTACTGTGAATGCCAATGGCGAGACGAAACGACAACGGACCTCATACACCCGCTACCAGACGCTGGAGCTGGAGAAGGAGTTCCACTTCAACCGCTACCTGACCCGCCGCCGCAGGATCGAGATCGCGCACGCCCTGTGCCTCACGGAGCGGCAGATCAAGATCTGGTTCCAGAACCGGCGCATGAAGTGGAAGAAGGAGCACAAGATGGCCTCGATGAACATCGTGCCCTACCACATGGGTCCCTACGGCCACCCGTACCACCAGTTCGATATCCATCCGTCGCAGTTCGCGCACCTGAGCGCATAGGACGCGTGGCACTTTTCGGGTACTGGTTAGAGACTCAATCAGTTGTATCAGGAACCATATCAGACGGCGGCGGCGGCCTCGGCGGCCAGTGGCTATCAGTCGCAGGACGGTGGCTCAGTGGGGGTGGGGGTGGGCGTCGGAGTGGGTGGAGCAGGGGCAGGGGCAGGAGGGCCGGGCTCGCTGGCCAACGGCGGCACCAATGGCAACGGTCCCAACTCCCTGTTCGCCTCCACCGCCTCCAGCTCCCAGGCACCCGACTGCATCAAGTATCCGCAGGAGTTCTGATCTCAGGTTATCATCAGGCAGCAGCAGCAGCAGCGGCAGGATAACCCCGTCGATCGGAAGCAGGATCGGGGCCTCGAGCAGCTCATGGAGTCGGACTGTGAGCCCGATCCGGAGCTGCAGCTGGACTTCAAGGCGGACATTGTCGGCTGCAACTTGTTCTGCTGCTGAGCTCTGACCGCCGGCCACGCCCTCTGCCACTCGCCGCCTGCCGCCTGCCACCTACCGCCCATCGCCTACCGCCTGTCGCCGCCCGTCGATCAACCAACATCCAGTGATGTTTCTTGTTTGCAACTGATTCGTGTTAAGCTAAGAAACGAGCCATATCCGCATGGTTCGTTTGGGTTTATGATACTGGAGGTGGAACCCCGAGCAATCGCAGCCTCTCAAAATTTGAATGAATACCATCTTACATATCGGGATCATATTTTTCACGTCTATATGAATAGATTTCACATTGATATTTGATGTTGATTTGGAGTTGGCTCGTTCAGATGTGATCAATATTACTTGAATGTGTTATATCCAGGCGAATGCTCGAGGGTCCCTGCAGTATGATGAATCTCTTTCTCTAAGCAGTATTCGAAAAGCTGTTAGTTCGTAAGCCTAGCATAATTTAGACCGTAAGCTGCACAGATGAACAGACAGAGCTGTCGAGTTGAACAAAACTAATATCTGCAATAATTTCAAAGTGATTTCTAATTAACATTAGTTCTTCGTTTGTATCGCCCCAACCTCGATCCCCAACCAAAACCCCACCCAGCACCCTCCAGGGAGTCCTAAAGAGTGTACTTAATTCCTAGCTTGTAGAGATCCTAACTCTAGTTAACCACATAAGGCTTTGTTTAGTTTGTAAATAGCAGAGCGTCCCAGCTCGGGGATCGCCTTTTTATGTTTGTGTTTAGTCTTGGAGATAAAATTTTGGAAATATCTGTAACTGTTTAATTCAATTTATTTCGTGTGTTTGCGTTTGTGTTGTTGAAAGTGCTCTAGCAGCTTGGAAAATGCTTTACTAATTTTATCAAAATCAATCGTTTTAATTTCCACTGAAGAACAAATTCGGAAGATAAACAGGAAGTAAAATATTTCAAATTTAGCATAGAACTTTCTATAGTTAATCAGGATTTTCTTTAGAACAGCAGCTGAACCTTCCACATTATTTATTCAAAGGCCTCTCAACAGCGTCTGTAAATTTAATTCGGTAGTTAATCGATACAGTAAGCCAACGAAATTTGATTAAAGCGAGAATTGTTAAAGCCTAAAGCTAAAGGAAACCCATAACCGTAATGTAAAGTAATTATTTATGCTGTACTTTTCGCTAAGCTAAGGTTAGTGCATTCTAGAACTATCGGTAGTCTATGTGAACCTAGCTCGTAAGTCTAAATTATGTATATCGAATTAGCAAGACAAATTTTAGAGAAAGCAAATCAGAATGAGCAAGGCAAAGCAAATCGAACAAAACTATGGAAAATGAGAGAATCAAACAAAAAAACCTAGCACAAATTAATTAATCGTTTTTTGTTTCCCATTTTGTACATTTGTTCAATCTTAGTTTGTACATCTTCTATTGTTTGTTTTATGCAATTTGTCGGAGCCGCGATGAAATGATTTTCCCATTCGATTGAAGTGAAACACCATTTGAAGTTTTCGGTTTAAGGGGCACTCACTGTCCGCCAGGACACAGTGGGCGCAAAAAGTTTAACTGCATTCCATGTAAAAAATAAAAATACGCAACTAATTTTTAATGAAATTCGCATGTATGTATTACCTTAATCTGGGTTCGATTGCAAAGGCAATTATACAAAGAAATGGAATCGAAAATAAAAACAGAAAAACTTCAACTATGAAACCACAAACCATACAAATATAACGAAAAACAAAACAAGTATGTAAACATGTATGAATATGTCATAAAAAATAAAAACTATTTTAAATTGTACACGTATTTTCTCTTTCGATGGTGATCTTGGATTGGAGGAGACTGTAAGTACTTTCCTCTAAGTAATGTTTTCTGCAGGATGACGTTCGAATGCCCGGATAGCTCAGTCGGTAGAGCATTGGACTTTTAATCCAAGGGTCCAGGGTTCAAGTCCCTGTTCGGGCGGCATTTATTTTTTTTATGAGCCCTTAAGCAAGAGTCGATATAATCTAAAATGGAACAAATAAGTGGCTCGCAATTAATGTTTTAAATAAATTAAATATGCGACAGGAAAATAAAGTTTCTCCTTTATACTGTGTTTAACTTTTTGATAACTAATTGTTTTGACAACCAGAGAGGAAAAAGCTAGATATCTATCAGAAAAAAAGGAAACTTTTTGGAGCAAACAAGCAAACGGCAAAAAGATTGTGGTCCAACCATATTGGTTGGGCTGATAACGGCAGTCCACTCCGGTACGCTATCCCACTACTGCCTACCACGGGAACTCTTGGCTGCTGGTTTTCACCCCTGGCCCGGTTCATCCCTCCTTAGCCAACCTGAATGCCACGGACTCCTCCATGGCACCCATATTGATGGCGAGCTTAGTGCGGACGTTCCGTCAACATGGGCTGGTCCGCTACACAGTAGATCCCAGCCTCAGGCCATCCCACAATCGGACCTCACAGAAGCGTGATTACAGAAGCTGCCAACCTTCCAGTCGGAGTGCCTGCGTCTAATACTCAGCCACACGTCACCGCTTCCATTCCGTTCGAGCAAACTGCCTTATCGGTGCACCACCTTATCGACGCGAAGCAGTGTGAGCACACTGCTTTATCGCAGCTGCGTTGCCAACTGAGACGAGGAAAGCATGGACGGCACTACATTCCATAGTGAGTCATCTGGGTTAAAAAAAAAAAAAACAAAAACAGATTTAAAAAAAGAAGGGAAAAAAATAGATCGCCCGAACAGGGACTTGAACCCTGGACCCTTGGATTAAAAGTCCAATGCTCTACCGACTGAGCTATCCGGGCCTTGACTAAGTGTGCGCCAAACTGCCTGGGAAGGATGAGGGGCGGTTTAAATCGTATCCCTTTTCCTTTTAAGCAGGGATTCGACATTCCACAAAAACTTTATCAGTTGCAATCATGCTCGAATCCACTGGGATGGGGGGTATAGAGATAGATCCCCCACTCGAATTAAAAAGTCAAAACAAGCAAAATATTAAGAGAGTATTACAATTTAGATATAAGAACTTTGTCCCTAACAAAACAAATTTTGTTTATCTATCCCCCTACAACCAAATCATGGATCCGTCACTGGGTGCAATATTTTTTTTTAAATGTAAAATAAACTGAAATAATTCCTACTGATAAGGTCGGTGCCGCAAAACGTACACTTTTCGGTGCAGACAATCACGGTACTAATTGAAATAAAAAAGAAACATTATAGTCGAGTGTTTCGCCTATCAGATACTCATTAGTCATATAAATGGAGCGCAAGGGAGGTATGCCATATAATTTCATAATTTCTTAATTAATTGTCCTACTTAAACATTTTTGTAATAGGCATTGATAATCAAAACAAAACTTCTTTAATACTTATACAAATCTATGAAAATGTGGGCGCCAGACAGATTTTAGCGTTGTGAGACATTTTGGAAGTTCGACGCGTATTTAAGAGCGCTAAATAAAATAGTAAATACATCATAGTAAAAAAAGGTTATATGGAGCTTTCATTAATTGACTTTGAACTTGTATATACATTTATTATATTTGCATTAGGGGTATTTATATTATATAACCTTTTAAATACACTTTGACTTTCAATATTAATTTTACAAAATATTATATTGCAAATCCTTAAAACTTAAAAAGAACTAACTTTTTATTCTTAACTTTAATATGAAACATTTTTAATTGGAAAATATTAAGGCTAAATATAATTTCATTTCAAATAAATATAGCCCCTTTTCAATTTAAACTGTGCCTAGTATACATCGATTGATTCACTGTGCATTAACCAATAAGTCACGACTCCCAATAATGTTTTATAGCTGAACATGACGTGCGTATCATCGGGATGAAACGCACGGTGTATGACGTGTAGGTAATCGACGCCGTTGTCGTTGTAAATGTTGTTTAGATCCGGAAGTCTCGTAATATCCGGTTCCTAAGAAGTTGATTTTTTTGCTTGCTTATATATTGTAATAAAATAGTTTGATTAAAGCAGACATCGTCTTCTCCACAGTATATTACAACATATTACTAAATTTAAGCGTTTTTACAAAGATAACATGTATGTATACTAATAAGGAATGGTTCTAAGTATTCTAGAATTGGCATATGGATTACATAGATACTTGATGATTAAAATAAATTGTTATGTACATACATATGTGTTAATTTTCATAATAACGACCGTAGTTATTTTTTTTCGCACACAAAAAACAATACAAAATTTATGGCAACACTTATGCCAACTTTTTCCCAACCGTTGTAACATGCCAAATACCAAAAAAAATAAGCATTGGAGAAGAATTGTATTTTTCAATTACAATTACGATCTTCCGACTGGGACATTAAAACAAATCTATACGTATAGTCAACCGCTGTTCAGGTCGGCAGAACTTTGGAAGAGCACCGGCATATCGACCTCTACAGCCATTTGTATCCCCTGGGCTTCGCGCACAACTTGTGCTAACAAACACTGTTATAACAAGAAAGGAAGTTAACTTCGGCAAGCCGAAGTTTGAATACCCTTGCAGTTATAATTATTAAATTTAAATATACAAAAAATGATGTTCCCAATAGTATAAGATAATATGTCAAAAACACCGAAGCTATAATGTGTTTCATATCATTTTCTCCCCGATTTTCCGATCGTTATGGCAGCTATATGATATAGTCGTCCGATTTTG